CCCTTCCTACCCCTGAGCTCGAAAACAACGGAACCGGGAAAAGTATAGAGAAAAGACCGCCGAGCCCGAAAAGAAAATAGAATAGATCTGATCTCACTAATTGTCAAGGAGTACAGCATGTTTATGTGCTTAGGCTTTAAAAAAATAAAAGGCAAAAGTAATCTGGATTCTGGACTCTTAATATATATATATATACAAGCTATATATAGTATAATACAAATGAGATATACGGATTAATTCTCTAAATACAGTAATAATTAAAAATAATTCTCAGAATACATTACTTTTATAAAAAATTCACAAACTACCAAAATTTGACACAGTTCGAGTTTGTTGAACTCGACCTAGTACCGGATCGACTGCCAACAAATCGATCCATGTGCATCGAGGAAGGAAGACTCGAACAGGAAAACCTGGATCGATGACCTGGGCAGCACTCCACCCTAGATCGATGTACCGGGAAGCGATCTAGGCCGTTCGATTGCTCAACCAGCGAAGCAATGATGATGCGGATCGAGTGTGGCAAACTCGAAGTAAACGATCGAGTCCGCGGTAATCGATCTGATTGACTCGGATCGATGACGTCAGACGCGCACTGCCGTCGATCGAGTATTGTAAACTCGATCTAGGTTGTTCGATTGCTAAACCCGCGAAGCAGGGATGATGCAGATCGAGTGGGTGAAACTCGATGCAGTGGAACGAGTCCCCGTTAATCGATCGGAAGAATTCCCAGAATACAGTAAAAATTAAACATAATTCCCATAATACATAACTTTTCTAAAATTTTCCCAAAATACCCAAGTTTCAAAGGGTTCGAGTCCCATGAACTCGAACAACAATCAAGTTCAACGATGAATAACTCGATCTAGAACCACAGCGAGTTCCTAAAACTCGATCAAAAGTAGTTCGATGATAAAAAAAAACTTGATCGTAGTAGTTCGAGTTTGAACAACTCGATCAAATTACTTCGAGTTTGGACAACTCGATCCACCCCGATCGATGCCAATAAACTCGATCTAGTAAAACGACTTTAGAATCCTCGATCCATATCTGCACAAGATCAATGCCTTAAAACTCGAACCATATAATTCGATTCCAATGGCCTCGAACCACTGGTCAACCGACGTGCTTTAGGATAGGCTTGCAGGGATAAGATTCTTTGTTGTCATAGATCGAGTTCTAGGGATTCGAACTAGTGTAGTTCGATTAGACTAAACTCGAACCACTGCGCAATGATTCTATCCAGTCGCTTTCGGTCCGACATGTTCCAGAATAGGGTGCAGTGGTAAAATTATTGGGTGCCCTAGATCGAGTTTAATGGATTCGAACTACTTTAATTCGAGTTTTTTGGCCTCGAACCACTGCATCAGTTTACGAGGATAAAAAGCCATCACTTAGCACATTCTGGCAACTCTTTTACTTTCTATCTTCTTTCTTCCAAACACAAACTGCAGCAGTTGGAGCACCATAGCTGAGCAAAGAAGAAAATTTTTGGAGGTAAGTTCTGCTTACATTGTTTGAATAAGCATATTAGAATTTTGGATTAATTTAGTATTGTTTGTACTGTATGTAATGAGCTGATTCTATAAACTGCAGAAATGGGTAGAAAATTTCGAAAATTCGACTTATTAATTCGGTGGAATGGTCGAATTACACATTTTCATGATAGTATTGACTACGAAGATAGTGAATCAAGTACTGTCTGGATTGAGAGCATATTTACTTGGCATGAACTCAGCCATATTTGTGTGGAACGATGTTGCATAGGAGGGCGAAGAGTATGCAAGATGACTTACCGTATGCCGGTTTACAAGGATTATGCACTTGTATATGAAGGATCAGTTTTGTCTGACGATTATGACATTAATATGATGGTGAGATTTATTGCAGAGTATAAATTCCCAACTGCTGAGGTGTATGTCGTGACAGAAGTTGTTGGCCAATATGGTGGGGGCGGTTATACCGAACAAGGTGAAGGATCGGGAGGGTTTTCCGGTTCAGGAGAATTTAGAGTTCTGCATGATGCACCATGGCCAACATACGAGGATCGAACTGCAACTGGTCCATTGGTGGAACATGACGGACAGGAGTAGCCAGTATGGGGTGAAGAATGGGATTACATAAGGGCACCTAGACAGTCACCCAGACAAGCATCTACACCAGCATCTGGCATCAACAATGATCCTTATGTGGATAAACCAAGTCCTCTGTATACTAGCGAGGCAAGCGACGTGGAAGATGAAGAGTTAGAATCAATGAGTAGTTCAGATAGTGTAGATCTGGAAGTTGATGAGGGGGAATTTGAGCCCCCCATACCTCACTACACGATGGTGCCCCAACATCCTCTCTATGCTCACAACGACGATTCTGACCTCCCTCCTATACCTATCTGGACTCCTGATTCTGGATTCGTGGTTGGCCAAACATTTGGAGGAAAGCCTCAGGTGGTCGATGCATTGAAAGAAATTGTTATGCGAAGAAGCTTTCAATATCCTGTCATCACTTCTGACACTAAACAAATTCATGTTCGTTGCGAGAACCATGGCAACGAATGCATGTGGCATGTTCGCATGGCATATGTTAAAAGAAATGAGGCTTGGCTCATTCGTAAGACAGACAGCAATCACACTTGTAGGTCGTCACTGATTTCTTTAGATCACCGACAATTGAGTGCAAGGAAGGTTGCACAAACAATCAAACATCTGATTGAGGCACAACCTGGGATCACCGTGAAGAGTGTCATCGCTGAAGTGAAGAATCGACATGGTTGTACCATCAGTTACAAGAAAGCATTGCATGGGAAGCAAAAAGTTATGGCAGAGGTGTATGGCAATTGGGAAGAGTCATTTGCTAACATGCCTCGTTTGATTCTTGCAGTGATGGACAAGAATCCTGGGTCTGTTTTTGTGCCTAGTTACGAAGATTTCTATGGGGTGCTAAAAGCGTGTTTAAGCGACTATTTTGGGCATTCAAACCATGCATTGATGGTTTCACCCATTGTCTGCCAATAATCCAAGTTGATGGCACCTTTCTGACCGGCAAATACAAGGGCACTCTACTCGTTGCCACTAGTGTTGATGGCAGTATGCAACTTTTCCCGCTTGCTTTTACAATAGTCGAATCAGAGAACAACTTAAGTTGGGCATGGTTTTTTATCCAACTATACACTCGTGTCACTCAACGGAAGGACATTGCCATACTTTCTGATCGACACCATGGAATTGCACATGCTTTCTACGACCTACCCGAGGAGCTCGGGTGGAAGTGGCGCTGGTGCATACGACATTTCAAAAGCAATTACGGGTAGTACTTTGGTAGAACTTATGGACAACGTTCAGTTTGGCACGCTGGTAAGAACAAATAAGATGTTGTGATCAATTGGTTGAATGCGTATACTCCTTTACTAACCTTATTTTGCTTTATTGTAGCTATTGCTTTTCAGACTCGAAAGTTTGTAGACAAAATGAACAGCATAAGGGAGGTCCACTCTGAAGGTGCAGATTGACTAGAAACACATCTTTTTGAGAGGTGGACGTTACATCAACATGAAGGGTATAGGTATGGAATAACAACAACGAACATGGGTGAGTGCCTCAATGGTTTGTATGTTGGTCTTCGTGCAATGCCTATCTCATCTATAGTCATGCATACATTCTTTCGTTCGGTGACATGGTTCGTTGAACGCTACCAAGCAGCATATCATATGCTGAATGCTGGAATCTACATCCCAAAGAAGATTACAGATGATATGAAACCATGGTCGGAAAGTGCAAAATGGCATAAGGTGACTTTATTTAGTCGAAGAGATTCCCGCTTCGCATTAGTAACAGGAAGTGAACCAGATAGTTCAAAGGGTGGTAATGCTCAAACAGTCATACTGGATGCAAGGAATAGAATAGGAGAGTGTACTTGTGGGAAGTTTCAAGGGAGAAACCTGCCTTTGTCTCATGCATATGCAGCACCGAGAAGCTTTAATTTGGACCCTTTAATATTTGTTAGTCCATACTACAAGACTGCCTACGTGGTCAGAGTTTGGGAAGGGTAGTTCTTTCCCTTACCTCATGAAGCATATTGGCCCCAGTATGATGGACCTATAGTGTACCCTCCCGAGCACATGAAGCGTACCAAAGGTCGACCAAGAGTTAATCGAATTGCAAATGAAATGGATAGATCAAGGACACAGCGACGCCGCCCGAAGAAGTGCTATGCATGTCGAGTTGAAGGGCATGATAGGCGCTAGTGTCCAGGGCCATCGACTGACAATTGAAAGTTTATGTTGTAATTTGAATTTTATGTTGTAATTTAAGAACTTTATGTTGTAATTTGAATTTTATGTTGTAATATGAATTTTATGTTGTGATTTAGGACAACTTAACAACTCTAGAGAAATAGAACAACTTAACAACGTCATTAGAAATAGAACAACTTAACAACTCTAAAGAAATAGAACAACTTAACAACTCTAGATAAATAGAACAACTTAACAACGTCATTAGATCTAGAACAACTTAACAATTCTAAAGAAATAGAACAACTTAACAACGTCATTAGAAATAGAACTTAACAACTCTAAAGAAATAGAACAACTTAACAACGTCATTAGAAATAGAACAACTTAACAACTCTAAAGAACACCTCACTCTTGTGCACCACGTCCGCGTCCCTCTCTTCGACGTCTATTCCTTGAACGAACTTCATATCCAATTCCAGTATTTTGTGGCAATGGAGGTGGGGTTGCAGTGGCTGGAGGACCATAATAGACATTTGTTCATCCGAAAACAAAGCAAGCGGGTGGTCCCATGTTCATCCTCCAATTATGGGTTTTGGAGAACCTTCCTACTTTCGCTCCGATCCGCCCTGCCAACAGTTGGGGTCCCGATGAGCCACTACGACAATGGGCTTATGGTGCTAGATGGATTGGAGCTATCACGAGACTCACCTCTCTAGACGGGTACCGCCAACATCTTGAACGTATAGAATTCAACGAGGTATTCTAGCTTTGTCGAAATTATTTGTCTTAGCCCATGATTTATTTTTATAATTATGAATCCTATTTTATTTGTTGAAATTATTTGTCTTAGCCCATGAGGACTGTCGACTCTGGTCGTGCAAGTTGCCTGTGATCTGCCACAACATTGTCGAGTGGCACCTCCCGGATAGATTTGTCCGACAATTTAATTGGGCGCAACCGATTCCTCTCCCACCACCGGATGTACATAAGTCACTCTACAAGTGCAGCAAGGATCTGCGAGGTACAATCAGTGATTGGCCAACCAAGCACCATAAATGGATTGAAATGTGGGAGTCTCGTCAGACGTATGCAATTGATGGGATCCCAATGAAGAGGCCAATGAGGTACCAAGATGAATACATGGTTTGGTACCGCAAGTTCACAAAAAGATGGGTAACCAAACGTGGCGCCGTGATCGGTTTGTTGGTAAGCATAATATCTATTTACTATAATCACTTTAGCTACACAAAGAGTGTTTGACTAACATGTTTATTTAAGTTGATGGGTTGGAACTTGCATCAATGACGTTGGAGAATGAACCAGAACAAGATGTGTCAGCTGAGAAAATTTCATTCTTGAAGAAGCTCTTCAAGAATCTCTTGTCATGTTCGCGGGAAATTCGAAGGGATGTCATTGCATATCCTCCTGCACCTGCATCGCCACGTCCTTCCTCCCACACCATTGAAGTTGAATCTCTCCCGCCATCACCACCAAGGAGGAGTAAACGTCGGCAAGAACCAGTTACAGTCCCTGTGCAAGTACAAGAAGATGTGGCACTTCCTGACCCATACGAGTATGGATTCCCTCCAGTCATAAGGGAATTAGGAGAGGGATCATCAGGTCCTCTTCTTAAGGAGGAGGAGGAGCCTACTATGCTTCATCGTATGGTCATCAATTCCAAATCCCCCAGCAAAGCTTCCAGACTCCGATGACAAATGTTTATTATGGTCCTCCAGCCACTGCAACCCCACCTCCATTGTCACGAAATACTGGAATTGGATATGGAGTTCGTTCAAGGAATAGACGTCGAAGAGAAGGACGCGGACGTGGTGCACAAGAGTGAGGTGTTCTTTAGAGTTGTTAAGTTGTTCTATTTCTTTAGAGTTGTTAAGTTGTTATATTTCTAATGACGTTAAGTTGTTCTATTTCTTTAGAGTTGTTAAATTGTTCTATTTCTAATGAAGTTGTTAAATTGTTCTATTTCTCTATAGTGGTTAAGTTGTTCTAAATTACAACATAAAATTCATATTACAACATAAAATTCAAATTACGACATAAAGTTCTTAAATCACAACATAAAATTCAAATTACAATATAAACTTTCAATTGTCAGTCGATGCCCTAGACACTGGCGCCTATCATGCCCTTCAACTCGACATGCAGAGCACTTCTTCGGGCGGCGTCGTTGTGTCCTTGATCTATCCATTTCATTTGCAATTCAATTAACTCTAGGTCGACATTTGGTACGCTTCATGTGCTCGGGAGGGTACACTACAAGTCCATCATACTGGGGCCAATATGCTTCATGAGCTAAGAGAAAGAACGACCCTTCCCAAAATCTGACCACGTATGGAGTCTTGTAGTATGGACTAACAAATATCAAATGGTCCAAATTAACGCTTCTCTCTGCTGCATATGCATGAGAGCAATGCAGGTGTCTCCCTTGAAACTTCCCACAAGAGTACACTCTCCTATTTTGTTCCTTGCATCCAGTATGACTGTTTGAGCATTACTACCCTTTGAACTATATGGTCCACTTCCTGTTACTACTGCGAAACGAGAATCTCTTCGACTAAATAAAGTCACCTTATGACATTTTGCCCTTTCCGACCATGGTTTCATATCATCTGTAATCATCTTTGGAATGTAGATTCCCTCATGCAATATCTTATATGCTGCTTGATAGCATTCAACTAACCATGTCACCGTACAAAAGAAGGTATGCAGGACTATAGATGAGATAGATATTGCACGAAGACCAACATACAAACCATTAAGGCACTCACCCATGTTCGTTGTTGTTATTCCATACCTATATCTTTCGTCTTGATGTAACGTCCACCTCTCAAAAGGATGAGTTTCTAGCCAATCTGCACCTTCAGAGTGGACCTCCCTTATGCTCTTCATTTTGTCTACAAACTTTCGAGTCTGAAAAGCAATAGAGCAAAATAAGGTTAGTAAAGGAGTATAAGCATTCAACCAATTGATATAATCACAACATCTTATTTGTTCTTACCAGCGTGCCAAACTGCACGTCGTCCATAAGTTCTACCAAAATGCTTCCCGTAATTGCTTTTTAAATGTCGTATGCACCAGCGCCACTTCCACCCTAGCTCCTCGGGCAGGTCGTAGAAAGCATGTGCAATTCCATAGTGTCGATCAGAAAGTATGGCAATTTCCTTCCGTTGAGTGACATGAGTATATAGTTGGGAAAAAAACCATGCCCAAATTAAGTTGTTCTCAGATTCGACTATAGCAAAAACAAGCAGGAAAAGTTGCATACTGCCATCAACACTAGTGGCAACGAGTAGAGTGCCTTGTATTTGCCGGTCAGAAAGGTGTCATCAACTTGGATTATTGGCAGACAATGGGTGAAACCATCAATGCATGGTTTGAACGCCCAAAATAGTCGCTTAAGCATGCGTTTAACAACCCTATAGAAATCTTCGTAACTAGGCACAAAAACAGACCTAGGATTCTTATCAACCATTACAAAAATCAAACGAGGCATGTTAACAAATGACTCTTCCTAAATGCCATACACCTCTGCCATAACTTTTTACTTCCCATGCCAGGCTTTCTTGTAACTGATGGTATAGCCATGTCGATTCTTCACTTCAGCGATGACACTCTTCACGGTGATCCCAGGTTGTACCTCAATCAGATGTTTGATTGTTTGTGCAACCTTCCTTGCACTCAATTGTCAGTGATCTAAAGAAATCAGTGACGACCTACAAGTGTGGTTGTTGTCTGTCTTACGAATGAGCCAAGCCCCATTTCTTTTAACATATGCCGTCAGAACATGCCACATGCATCCGTCACCATGGTTCTTGCAACGAACATGAATTTGTTTAGTGTTAGGAGTGATGACACGACATTGAAAGCTTTTTCGCATAGCAATTTCTTTCAATGCATCGACCACCCGAGACTTTCCTCCAAATGTTTGGCCAACCACGAATCCAGAATCAGGAGTCTATATAGGTATAGTAGGGAGGTCAGGATCGTCGTTGTGAGCACAGAGAGGATGTTGGGGCACCATCATGTAGTGAGGTGTGGGGGGCTCAAATTCCCCCTATCAACTTCCAGATCTTCACTATCTGAACTACTCATTGATTGTAACTCTTCATCTTCCACGTCGCTTGCCTCGCTAGTATACGGAGGACTTGGTTTATCCACATAAGGATCATTGTTGATGCCAGATGCTGGTGTAGATGCTTGTCTGGGTGACTGTCTGGGTGCCCTTATGTAATCTCATTCTTCACCCCATACTGGCTACTCCTGTCCGTCATGTTCCACCAATGGACCAGTTGCAGTTCGATCCTCGTATGTTGGCCATGGTGCATCATGCAGAACTCTAAAATCTCCTGAACCAGAAAATCCTCCCGATCCTTCACCTTGTTCGATATAACCGCCCCCACCATATTGGCCAACAACTTCTGTCTCGACATAAACTTCAACAGTTGGAAATCTGTTCTCTGCAATAAATCTCACCATCATATTAATGTCATCATCGTCAGACAAAACTGATCCTTCATATACAAGTGCATAATCCTTGTAAACCGGCATATGGTAAGTCATCTTGCATACTTTTCGCCCTCCTATGCAACATCATTCCGCACAAATATGGCTGAGCTCTTGCCAAGTAAATATGCTCTCAATCCGGGCAGTACTTGATTCACCATCTTCATAGTCAATACTATCATGAAAATGTGTAATTCGACCATTCCACCGAATTAATAAGTCGAATTTTCGAAATTTTCTACCTATTTCTGCAGTTTATAGAAGCAGCTCATTACATACAGTCCAAACAATACTAAATTAATCCAAAATTATAATATGCTCATTCAAACAACGTAAGCAGAACTTGCCTACAAAAATTTTCTTCTTTGCTCAACTATGATGCTCCAACCGGTGCCATTTATGTTTGGAAGAATGAAGATAGAAAGTAAAAGAGCAGCCAGAATGTGCTAAGGGGTCGTTTGTATGAATCAATCTATAAATGAGTTAATTTGATCAATTGTCTCGTTTTATAAACGAGTCAATTCGAATTACCTGCCCCACCCCAGGTAATTGAAATTGACTCAAAATGGATCAATTCAAAATACCTCAAGCAGATTGACCCATCAAAATTTTTTGCTGGCAAACAAGGCAATTTGATACAATTGTCTCAAAACGTGACAATTGTGTCAAATTGATCCGTCACAATTCCTCATCCAAACGACCCCTAAGTGATGCCTTTTTATCCTCGTAAACTGATGCAGTTGTTCGAGTCCATTAAACTCGATCTAGGGCAACCAATAATTTTACCACTGCATCCTATTCTGGAACATGTCGGACCGAAAGCGACTGGACAGAATGATTGCACAGTGGTTCGAGTTTAGTCTAATCGAACTACACTAGTTCGAGTCCCTAGAACTCGATCTATGACAACAAAGAATCTTATCTTTGCAACCCTATCCTAAAGCACATCGGTTGACCAATAGTTCGAGGCCATAGGAATCGAATTATATGGTTCGAATTTCAAGGCATTGATCTTGTGCAGATATGGATCGAGGATTCTAAAGTCGTTTTACTAGATCGAGTTTATTGGCATCGATCGGGGTGGATCGAGTTGTCCAAACTCGGAGTAATTTGATCGAGTTGTTCAAACTCGAACTACTATGATCGAGTTTTTTGTCATCGATCTACCTCGATCGATTTGTGCAAAATCGAACTACCTTTGATTGAGTTTTAGGAACTCGTTGTGGTTCTAGATCGAGTTCTTCATCGTCGAACTTGATTGTTGTTCGAGTTCATGGGACTCGAACCCTTTGAAACTTGGGTATTTTGGAAAATTTTATAAAAGTTAGATATTATGAGAATTATGTTTAATTTTTACTGTATTCTGGGAATTCTTCCGAGATATACTTATTAGCTTTCTTAGTGGCCACAACAATCATATCCTTTCTTCAACTTCATGAAACACTCTTCTTTGACCCGTTTGGTCTTGACTATGTCGTTCCAAGTCCTTGCTGGAGAAATTAGAATAGAGTGATGTTATTCAATAACTTGTAAATAACGATGCTAGAGATGTATTAAGGACAAAAGTAAAGCTATGGGAAGATAAAACCAATGAAAGCATGGGCAAATTGTTGAGCATATAAACAAATTTCACTCACAGTTTACCTACTAAAAGCTTCAAGAACTGTCAAATGATTTAGAAATGGGTAAAAATTTTATTCAAGGAATAACTGCATTGTAGAGGACCCCTAATTATACGAAGACATTTGTTAATGTCCTTCTAAGTCCCTGTGCAATGGAAACAAAGTCATGTTACTCAATACATTTATGTTAATCATACACCAAGAGTTTCCAACTTACAGAAGTTGATAAGAAGAAACCATTCACCCATAATTCACAGTAGCAACACCACCAATAATATACTCTTTGCTAAACGCAAACACCTAGCAAAGCCCAACTTGAACAACCACCATAAACAGACAAAAAAAAAAAAGCAGCAGAGCAACAGCTAGTTGTCCATTTACCACCACCAACAAGCAGCGAAGAAACTTGAACAACCACCACAAACAGACCAACATCAAAACATAAAGTAGACAGCACCAACCTGCATCCTCTGAAAGCCAAAAAAAATGCAAAACTGGATGCCATACAGAGCACAACAGCAGCAACAAACAGGAGACAACGTATCCTCTGAGCCACCATATGCCCTTCCCCATTATGTCTAATTATTGATCGATTAGCATTCAAAATAGGACAATGGTCTAATATCACAAACAAATCTCAATTGCCCTTGAACTAAAATCACAATTTCTAAAATGGAGATAATAACACTACGAAACCAAAGATTACCTTTTGGGATGATATTGTTGAATGATTAATCTCATCTTTCTCACAAGCCAGCCGAGAATCACTTCTACAGGCTGAAAGAAAATTCGAAGAAGAATCAAATTGAAGTAGCAATTTACCCTAACTCTCAAACTTTCAGATCTGCCACATGCACCCTAGATCTCAATCTTGAAGGCAAAGTTACGCATAACAGTATCCCATACCACATGAAGTTAAAAGTTCCTAACAAGTTCAAGCTGTGGAGGATTTTGAACCCTTCATCCTCGGGCGAAGTGGAGTGGCTGGAGCAACCAAAGCTTCCTCCTCGATGCAGCCAACCACGTCAGCAGCCTCCTCGGTCGAAATCGTGCCGTAGCGTTTGGAGAGGACAGAGGGAGTGGGCAAGGGGGCCAAATGCTGAGATTGCTGATTCTGGGTGGTGTTGAGGCTGGTGGCACCATCATCTTTTATTCCGATTGCTTCGGCGGTGGGGTGTTTATGGATCGTCCGCTGTAGAGCGGTGGCGGTTCCGTCGGAATCGGTCATTCTCCAGAGAGCGGCGTATAATGCTCTAGAGAGAGTAAATGGAAAGGGTGAGCTTTTTCATCAAAGGGAGAAACATAAAGAAACCACTTCGTAATTCGTATATGAAAAGGCAGACTTTCCTTCCTTTTAACTTTACCAAATACCAATTGGGTTTTTTAAGGGTTCAAAGTTCAAACCCATTCTTTTGTGGGTGTACGAAAAAAAGGCCCGGGAAACCAAAATTAATTTGGCGGACTCACTATAGGTGCCAAAGTGAACTCGTCGAGTTAAAGCGGGTTGCACTTTTTGTCTTTTCTCATTTTAGTTTTTGTTTTTGTATTTTTATGTTTGGGTCGATTTGCTCTGATATCAAAAATTATACGGTTCTAAATTCCTAAATTTCTTTGTTTCATATCAAAGGTCTTATATTTTCAAAAGTCTTAATCGTCTTTTTATTTTCAAAAAGTCTACTAAAGAGTCTAATCATTCTTTCTTTTTCTTGTTTTTTCCAACAAGTCTCATTATTTCTTTTTCTTTCATGGAATGGCCCAAATAAAGGTGGTTAATTTTCATTTTGTTGTTTTTGGTTTATCTATTTTCTAGTTTCTGTTTTATTTTGTTTAAACTAGTTATTATATCGGTAATTAATTCAGTTTTAGATACGACTTTCTCTAATGTTTCTGAATTTCCGATAGACATATGTTCTTCTACAATATCTGATATGAAGTGAGATAATTCTAACGTAACCGTATTATGTCGCCTACTGATGTAAGGTCTATTGCATCTATTCCTTCTATCAATTTATTTATGTAATGAGTGTTAGGCATCTTTACAATTTTTCACTCATTTCTACAATTAGTTCTTGTAACTTTTTTATTTCACTAGTATTATCATTTTGATGAAGTATAGTTATGTTTTTTATTTCCTTATTTTCTTCTTTCTCCATTTCCTTATGCTTATCGGTTAGTCTCATGGAAGAACTTCTCTCATCTATACTTATTCTTGGATGATCATAATTTGATTTTATTATTTTTAGAGGGGATTCTAATTGAATTAATGGTTTGAATAAATCTTCTATGGTGATGGCTTCCTTATCTTTAAACGCTAGACTATGATGACTATTGCTCAGTGCATAGTTTATCTGGTATGTTACCGAAAAAGGTTTACTATTTTCTTTCATGAAATTTTTTCTTTTCAATTCATACTTTATAATAATGGAAGAATCGAGATTTCTATCTGTTAAACTAATTCCTTGTTGTAGATTAATATCGAATTTGATTACTCCTACTCCTAGATTTCCTTTTCCTTTTGCAATAATACTCTCTTCTCTATTGATGAGTCGATCATCTCTTATTTCTAGTTCTATAGGTGCACTTATCCCTGTTTTCATAGTACATTTTAGAATGATTTGTATCGTGTTAATGTGAATATAAGCTATTTTATTTCTTTCTTCCTGTTGTAACTTGGATAATTTTTTCCTAATTTGTTCCCTATTTATTATTTGAATTAGGAAATCTCCCTTAGTTTGTTCTATTGGTACTGTCGTTTCTCCTATCATTTTTCCATATTTAATTATATTTTTTCTATCAAATAGTTTGGATAAAAAAGACTTAGTAATAAAATTTTGCGTTTCTGATAAGGTAAAATTAGTTTGTTCCTTACTTTTTTTGACATCTAATATTCCATCTAGAAAAGAATTTTCTTCCTCATTTTTACTTAAATAATCAAAGTAACTGTTACTGCTACTGGGGTTATCCGACATACCTGATTGTTGCTTAGGTTGATTGATGCAACTTCTTGCTACTGAACGTCCCCATGATGGTGTAGTGCGAGGGAGGCTGATTGCTTATGATCGTTGAAAATGGTGTTGGAGAATTCTTTGTGGTGTTAATGGTTGGTGTATAGTTTTTTATGGATAGGTGGTAGTGGATATGAGCGTCTCCAGAGTATTATCTCAAACGCTCTGTGCCGAAGCACCAAGACTACACTTAGTCTTTTGAGAGAGAAATCTCAAACTTTTATTCTACTCTGCCTCTTTATGAGGTTCAGATGTACATATCTATAGATGCAGGGGCTTTGCCTGCTTACATATGTACTTACATCATTCTCCACTTAAAAGAGAAAGCAAACACACCGTACACACGTTTTTGTCTTATGGGCTACATTATTGATCAGAAAAAGAAAGAAGAATCTTTAGTCATTTTCTTTGTTTGATTCCTGAAGTATTGTCTTGTTCTTCTTCTTCGTTGATGTTGCCTTTTCTTTTCTTTTCTTTGTTTGATTCCTGAAGCATTGTCTTCTTCCGCATGGTGGATTACATTTCTTTGATTCCATTATTGCTACTCGTGGAGGTAGTCATATCTGCTGCACAGTGGGTGCATATGTGATCCTCGTGTAGCTGTAATAATTCACAAAGTTGCTGTTTTTGTTCTGACGTTTTCGGGGCTAATGTTCCTTCTAGATTGATAAAATCCTTGGCTAGATCTGTGATGAATCCCCATTCTTCCGCTGTGATCTGATTTTTTGAATTATTGATGATGATCTTGTTGGTGCTGGTATAATTGACTTTAATATTATCTGTTGGGTTAAGATAATATAGGGCCTGACTTGCTGAATATAATTATCTGACTTGATAGTCCTCTGGTGTCCTGGCTGTTTCTAATTCATCTCTGGTTGGATAGTTGCCATTAGATACTCCCATTTTGATGATTGCTTTTGATGGCACGACCATTTCTTCCTTGTTGAATATTGGATAGCTGGATGTGTATCGCAGATAGATTTCTCTACCCTTGGCGAATCAGTCTAGATACCTTTTTACAACTATCTTGAACTTTCTTGGGAATTCTTCGAAGATATGAGTCTTCTGTGTGTATGTTGTGTCGATTAATCCATATTGATGGAGAGCAAATAGTGTTGTTGGTGCGATTTTATCTGTGATGATAACTGCTCTTGGACCTCCCTTAAAGGTTGGATAGAAGCCCATGGTAGTATGAATTTTCTTGTAATTGAGAAGATCCTCCCAGCATTGTTGGAATTTTTGAAGTGTAGGTCTATTGATTTCTTCCTTTTGCTTCGTGGTTGGAATATCCTTAATGCTGATGCTTGGTATCTTCATCACTTATCTTTGTTGTGGAGTGGCTGACTCTGTCTTCTGTTTCATAGCAATTGCCTTGTATGATTCTCTTAATGTCTGCTCTGCTTCTTCTTTGGTTGAAAATGATTGGTGTTTGATGTTGTATCCCGTAACATAGTGAGATACAATTGCCCAGTTGTTATAGAGTCCCCGAAAAGGTCCGTCGTAAATGACATACCATTTTCCCTTTTTTATTTTCTTTCGTCTTCTTCCACCATGTCTGCCCATTTCGTAGATGGTAGCTGAATAGTTTGTTGTTGCATAATAGTTTGTGATTGAGCAGTGCTTTTAGTTTGTGTTTGCAAAATGGTGATGGTGGTTTTTATCTGCTCCAATTCCCCCCGCCTTTGAGAAAGCTGAACTTCAAGGGTACGTATCTGCTATTCATTCTGTTGTTGGTGATGCTGCATTTGCTTGATTATTCCTTCCATTCCCTTGTAAGGGTGTCTGCTAACGGATTAGCTGTTGACTTGATATACTTCAAATATGGTTGATAATAGTGAAGTTGTTGTTGCCAACGAACGAGTCTTCCTTTATTGAAGTCTGCATCCAGCTTGTATCTCCAAAATCCTATAACATATTTAGAGTCGGTTCGTAGTTCGAATCGACTGGTTAGTAATTCTATTTTCCATTTTTTCAGTGTTCTCAGACAAGCTAGTGTCTCTAGCTCATGTATTGGGTAGTTTCTCTCAGTAAAAGAGAATGTTCCAGATATATATTTACATAACTTCCTTGGATATTTGTCTGTATTGAATGGTATTGTATAGTCATATTGTTTCGAATCATTTGATTCATTACTGCGTCGAGATAGTGGTGAATCGTTCGATTCATTACTGATATGGTGTGAATCGTTCGATTCATTACTGAGTATATTGCCATAGTGATCAAGTGATAGTAACTTTTTGCCTTCTGGTATTGCAAGCATGCATCCTGCCCATGTATCCTTTGATGCATCTGTCTCAACAATAAGAAAATCTCGATCGCATGGGTTATATAATTTTGGTAAATGATCACAACTGGCCTTCATGAATCTTACTATCTCTGTATCCTTATTATCCCATTTCCAAGGGAATCTGATATCTTTTGCTGAAGGTATTTTCTTTCCTTCGCTAAATTTTTTAGAAATCCTTGCTCACTGATGTAATTTAGACTTCCTAAAAATCGTTGTATTTGTTTTCTATTTTCCATTTTATCTAGAAATTTATCTAATTTTTCCTTAACATTAGTGGTTAGTTCTATTTCTCCTGTACTATTTATTTTCATTCCCAAATATTCAATTTCATTGACTAACAATTTAGATTTCTTTTTTGAAATTACCAGTCCTTTTTCTTTTAGTCTTTCCAAAACTTTTATTAGTTTTTCTTCATGATCTATCTTATCTTTATTTGAAAAGATAATAATATCATCAATTTATGCTAAACAAAAATCTTCCAATCCTTCTAGATTTTTATCCATAAATCTCTGATAAATTCCTGGGGCTTGCTTAATTCCAAATGGTAACACATTCCATTCATAATGTTTTTGTGTGTGGACATGAAAAAGCTGTTAAGGGTTTTGTATTTTCATGGAGCCTTAATTGCCAATATCCTGATTTAGCGTCTAGGCTACTGAACCAAGTTTGTCCTTTCAATCGTTCCAGAATATAATCTTTTCTTGGTAATTATAACTGTCTCCTATAGTGTGTTCATTGAGTTTTTTGTAATTTATTACCATACGTCTTTTTCCCCTCTTAATTTCATTATTATTTTCTACATAGAATGCCGGAGCACTATGCGGACTTTTACTTTCTCGAATAATATTTTTACTGAGTAAATCTCCACATTCTACTAGAAATTCTTCTACATCTCTTTGAGTATATTGTATTTTATTAGGAACATTAACTTCGATATTTGGATCTTTTAGTTTAATTTCTATTAATTCTGAATTTGTATTTTTTATATTATCTAAAGGGTGTTCACTACAGACTTCCTCTAGTTTTTCTTCAACTATTCCGTAGGCTACTTGGATATATTCAAGCTTATTTTTAAGTCTTTGTAAGACAGTTCTTAATACTTTATTTTTTGTTATTATCTTGGTAGTAACGATTTTTTACTATTGATTTTTCATTTTTGGAGCTTTTAGACATATACTCTTAATTCTTTGAGTAAATGGTTGATATAGTTTAAGAAAATTATTTCCTATTATTATGTCTAATACTGAATCATGAAGATATATTGTTTTGGCAGTAAATACATATTGTTCTATAATGATAGGCACGTAATGTTTTACATACAAGATTTCATGGATAGATTTATCTGCAACAATAATTTTTAATGGTTTATCTAATTTATCCCAACCTTTAATGGTCGATGTTTTTGCAATAGTAACTTTTATGAATGTTGCGTTCGGGTTATTCTTAGCTAGAATCTTCTTCTGACTCATCTGAAAATATTTCTAAATCTGTAAGATATTCAATAATTTCTATGTCTGATAGTTCAAAATCTGTTTCTTCTATAGGTTTGAATCCACAATCGTATGCTATCCTTAGAACTTCCTGCTTCTTATTATTAGTGTTTTTCTTTGGGCATTTATTAGCATAATGTCCTTCTTCATTGCAGAGCCAGCATCTGCAATTAGTTTTGCCTTTAGGGCAATAATCTTTCTGACTAGTTTTCTGTTTCTAAAATATTTATTAGGGTTTCTATATCTATTTTTTCTATATTCCTTATAGGGTATCTTTCGCCATTTTTTGTTTTTTTCGTATCTCCGTTTTTTCTTTATTTTTGGTCGTTCATCACTACATCCGTATTTTCCAATTTTATCGGTGGAGGCCTCACATCAGAGGTCAATTTTAGCTTGCTTTTTCAGTTTTTCTTCATTACAGGCTCGTTTATGCCATTCCTGTAATGTTAGAATTCGTCCTCCTAATGTGTCTGGTACTTCTTCCTTTTGAACTGCTTCATTAAAAGCAGTTTCTACTTTTTGTGCTACTATTAAAGGAAGTTTAGAAAAGAATAATTTATCTAAGTCTTTTCTTACTGACGGAATAACCTGATAATAATGTATCTTAAATTCGCAAATAAATTATTCTAAATAACACATATTGCAGATCCTTAAGTTTGTTAGGTGCCAAATAGCCCGATTACTCAGAGTTGCGTTAGTTTCTTTTTCCCTTGGATATCTTCCTAGAAATTCATAGGTTAAAGCATTTAATATTTTTTCAAAAGTTTTTATAGCGTCATTTCCATATAGGGTTGTTTTTGCAGGAATATCCATTGCACTTAAATAGTGATAAATTGCTCCAGTGGTTTTGTATATTAAGAAATTAAATATTTCACTAGGTTGAAGTTTCCTTAATTCCTCGTTAGTTTGAATTAATAATCCTGTTCGATTTTTCCCATCTTCTAATTCTTTTAATGGATTAGTGCTACAGTCTAAATCTAGAATATCTGAACTATTATAACTTGTTGTAGAGTATTTAGGAATGTATGAGTGAGGAATTTTCGTCCATTCTCCCCCCCTACGAGGAGCAAAATGATTTTTATAAAGATATTCGTCAAAATTCATTTGACCGTCATTATAATCATTAAATCGTCTTTTATTTGATTTAGATGGAATTGGGTTGGATGTTTAGCCTGGGTTATTTTCTGTTTTCATATAATTTGTATATGGATTTTCATCACTACTGTAGTCTAGTACTACTTTATCATTTTCAATGTGGTCTTCGTTATCTGATTCAATACTTAAGGCCATTAGTAAATCATTTATTTTATTTTTATTCTCATCAATAGTTGTCATATTAGGTAAGGTTCGATAATTGTGAGTTTTCCAGGGTTTTTATGATCCTTTAAAAATTCTTTCATATCTTCAATAGTAAGATATCACGTGTTATCTAATTTTAATATTATTTCCTGTAGTGTTGTTATTATTTCTTTAAGATTTTCTTCTGGTAATATTTCATTGGAACTTTCAATAATTTCTCCTTTGTCTTTTATTTGTAATATGATATTATTTATTAGATTTTTTTGCTATTTCTAGGTCAGTATATAATTCCTTTTGCTTTGCATTGATTTGAATTTCTAATAAGATCGCTTGAAGAAAATAATAAACATTTAAGAAAAATGTTAGAAATTCAAATCAATGGAAAGCAAAATGAATTATATACTGACCTAGAAATAGCAAAGAATCTAATAAATAATATCATATTACAAATAAAAGACAAAGGGAAAACTATTGAAAGTTCCAATGAAATATTACCAGAAGAAAATCTTAAAGAAATAATAACAACACTACAGGAAATAATATTAAAATTAGATAACACGAGATATCTTACTATTGAAGATATGAAAGAATTTGTAAAGGATCATTAAAACCCTGGAAAACTCACAATTATCGAACCTTACCTAATATGACAACTATTGATGAAAATATAAATAAATTAAATGATTTACTAATGACCTTAAGTATTGAATCAGATAACGAAGACCACATTGAAAATGATAAAGTAGTACTAGACTACAGTAGTGATGAAAATTCATATACAAATTATATGAAAACAGAAAATAACCCAGGCGAAACATCCAACCCAATTCCATCTAAATCAAATAAAAGACGATTTAATAATTATAATGACGGTCAAATGAATTTTGACGAATATCTTTATAAAAATCATTTTGCTCCTCGTAGGGGGGGAGAATGGACGAAAATTCCTCACTCATACATTCCTAAATACTCTACAACAAGTTATAATAGTTCAGATATTCTAGATTTAGATTGTAGCACTAATCCATTAAAAGAATTAGAAGACTGGAAAAATCGAACAGGATTATTAATTCAAACTAACGAGGAATTAAGGAAACTTCAACCTAGTAAAATATTTAATTTCTTAATATACAAAACCACTGGAGCAATTTATCACTATTTAAGTGCAGTGGATATTCCTGCAAAAACAACCCTATATGGAAATGACGCTATAAAAACTTTTGAAAAAATATTAAATGCTTTAACCTATGAATTTCTAGGAAGATATCCAAGGGAAAAAGAAACTAACGCAACTATGAGTAATCAGGCTATTTGGCACCTAAAAAACTTAAGGATCTGCAATATGTGTTATTTAGAATCATTTATTTGCGAATTTAAGATACATTATTATCAGGTTATTCCGTCAGTAAGAAAAGACTTGGATAAATTATTTTTTTCTAAACTTCCTTTAATAGTAGCACAAAAAGTAGAAATTGCTTTTAATGAAACAATTCAAAAGGAAGAAGTACCAGATACATTAGGAGGACGAATTCTAAAATTACAGGAATGGCATAAACGAGCCTGTAATGAAGAAAAACTGAAAAAGCAAGCTAAAATTGACCTCTGCTGTGAGGCCTCCACCGATAAAATCGGAAAATACGGATGTAGTGATGAACGACCAAAAATAAAGAAAAAACGGAGATACGAAAAATACAAAAAATGGCGAAAGATACCCTATAAGGAATATAGAAAAAATAGATATAGAAACCCTAATAAATATTTTAGAAACAGAAATCAATTTAAACAGAAAACTAGTCAGAAAGATTATTGCCCTAAAGGCAAAACTAATTGCAGATGCTGGCTCTGCAATGAAGAAGGACATTATGCTAATAAATGCCCAAAGAAAAACACTAATAATAAGAAGCCGGAAGTTCTAAGGATAGCATACTGTTGGGTATGTGACTCGGATTCCGCCGCGCCAAAGAAACACCGACATCAGAAGAGTTGGTCGTGATACCGGCGCGAGCGAACACACCGTCGAGCGCCAATACCAAGAGACGGGCGCACCAGCACCGGCGCGAGCAAGCGCACCGTCGAGCGCCAATACCAAGAGACGGGTGCACCAGCACCGGCGCGAGCGAACACACCGGCGAGTGCCAATCCCTAGAGACGGGCGCATCAGCACCGGCGCGTCCAAGGGCAGCCCGAGTCCAGCGTTGACTAGATCAGCGAGTATGGGAAAACGACGCTGCATTCCACCTACCGAGTGGTCACATCGCAGTCCTAGTCCTAGGTATAATGAAAGGCTAAATGTACTTGTCCTAGGTAGAGGTATGACCTAGTCTTCTGACATGTCAGTGGTCATGTCACCATGTAACTCACCCACCACCATGTAGCCTATAAATAAGGCATTTACTCCGCTGGGTGAGGGGATCGGATTTTTCTGACTCTATCTCTAAGATTATCAACTTCTCTCTCTAAGATATTACCCTCTCAACTCTATTCGTAGTTTCTGGAGTTCTTCCATTGACGGTTATTCTCCCCTTGCTTACTCTCCTTGACCCATCTTCCCGAGTCTCACTCCTACACCCAGTTAGGCTCAAACAATTGGCGCCCACCGTGGGGCCGAGTAGAGAAGCAAAAGAAAACTGACCAATGTCAGAGCATAACTCCAACTCACCTGATGAATCAACGCCCATCAAAGCGATGACCAACGCAAGGGAATTCGCGGAAACTAGCAATCTCAACGCGGTGCTCCTCGAAGAAGAAGAGCCCGAACTCACAGCCAAAGAAATGAGGCAGCTAATGGCAAAGTAGAACAGTGTCATAGCTGACATGCAGAAACAAATGAGCCAGGTCATAGCTCTCATGATGAGCAAAGAGGCCGCGACGACAGTAGATGCGACGCCTGTCGCGCCCCAACAAGCCCCAGGAGAAACGTCGTGGACTGCCCTACCACCGCAGCCCGCGTACGAAACGCAACAAGTTGAGCTGCCAGGCAGGGCGAACCTCAGCTTCTTGGAGCAATATCTATCTCCGCAATACCGTCCCAACCCGCCCAGGAAGGCCCTCCACCAACCGCTAAGCGCAGAAATCATGGCGGAACACCTGAGCGGAATGCCACCCGCCCTCCCGACGTACAACGAAACGACCGACCCTAAAGACCACGTGAGCACCTTCTGCCTGCGGATGCAACTCCAAACCAACTCCAACGCGGCACTATGCAGGACCTTCCCGTCAACGTTCCCCGGAATATGCCTCGATTGGTACAACAGGCTGCCGAACGGAATCAACCGCTCATTTGAAGAGTTCATACTCTTATTCACGACGAAATTCGCATCCCAAAAAAGAAGACCTCTCCACCTCAAGGCGTTGATAGACATCAGGCAAAAGGAAGGAGAAAGCCTACGAGCGTTCTACGCTAGATGGTCCAGGGTGGCAATGGCCGTGCGCGATCTTACCCCCGAGACCGCCGCCCATCACCTTATGGAAGCCACCACCAACATGGAGCTCAAGCGGGCACTAGCAAAAAGACCTTTCACGCTATCGACAGAGTTGGAGATGAAAATCGAGAAAGCTATCACGCTAGAGGAAACCCTCGGAGCGGGATCTGTTAGACGTTTTGAACCGGCAAGAGCACCCCGAGAGGACCAAGGCAGGAGGCAGCTTCCGGTGCCACCGCGAGAACAATTGGTGCAACTACACAGCGGGCCGAAGCGCCACCCTCCTCCCCCGCAAGAGCAGGCACAACGAGAGCGATCGCCAGACAGGCGCATGACGAGCGCTTACATGCCGCTCAACGACTCCGTGAAGAATGTGTTTCACGTCCTCCGCAAGAAAGGATACAAGATCAATTGGCCCGCGCCTCTAAAGTCCTTACCACACATGCGCGATCCCAAAAAATACCGCGATTTCCATAGAGCAACGGGCATTGGGCAGAAAATTGCAGAGAGCTGCGTTACGAAATAGAAGGCCTCATACGACGAGGACTACTGACCGAGTTCACCCACGAGAAAGAGGAACAAGTAGCGCGTCCCCAAAACCCGCCACCACCCCCGCAAGCCGACTACAACGAGGCCACTGGCGCGTATGTAGTGCGAAAGGAGATAGTGGTGGTGACGGTAGAGGGAGATCGCCCCAAAAAGAAAACCAAGCGCGAGCGCGCAGCAGAATGCGCGGCGGTCGAGACGCGGCAGAAGTAGAACCTGAGCTTCGATGACGCAGAGTTCCCACAAGGTGTCCCATCGGAAGACCCACTCACCATCACCGCGCTGGTTGCCGCCTGTAAAATTCACCGTCTACTGATAGATGGCGGAAGCGCGGCTGACATCCTGTTCAAGAGCACAGTCGATCAAATGGACATCGACCCGCGCCTAATCAAGCGCGCACAGGGTAACTTGGTCGGGTTCTCTGGAACAAATGTTCCAGTAATCGGCGTGGTCACCCTTCCAGTAGTAGTCAGAGACCAGGAGCCGCGCGTCTCCAAACAGGTTGAATTCACAATAGTCGACTGCAAGTCGGCGTACAACGACATCCTTGGCCGACCCTTCCTAGCCAAATTCATGGCTCTCCCGTCAACGTGCCACCAGAAGCTCAAATTCCCCACCAAGACAAGGATCGGGGAGGCGTGAGGCACGCCATGGGAGGAGCACGGAGAAGCGCGCCAGACCAACATTGGGGACACGAGAGCAGAGGAGCCCCGTCCAGAACCTATGGATTCTGACTTCGAGGTCGCGCTCGACCCAGTGGAGCCGACTAGGAAAATACGCATCTCAACACATGTCCGCAATGATGCGATCGAACCACTGATAACGCTGCTGAAGGAATACAAAGAGATGTTCGCCTGGTGCACAGAAGACATGCCGGGAGTTCCGAGGGAGATAGCCCAGCATTGTCTCGCAGTTCCAATCAACGCGGAACCAAGGCAACAGGCGCGAAGAGGCTTTACCGGCGACAAATTGAAGGCCATAGAGGAAGAGGTCGCGCGGTTATTGGCAGCGGGATTGATCCGCCCGGTGAAATATCCAAAGTGGTTGACAAACGTAGTCTTCGTGAAGAAATCTTCAGGAGCCTGGCGAATGTGCGTTGACTACACAACAATCAACAAGGTATGCCCGGGAGACCCTTACCCACTCCCGCATATTGACCAACTGATCGACGCCACCGCCGACCACGAGGCATTGTCTTTCCTTGACATGTTCTCGGGATACCACCAAATCCCAATGTCCCGCGAAGATGAGGAAAAAACGGCTTTCATGACGCCATTTGGAAACTTCTGCTTTGTTCGGATGCCGTTCGGACTGAAGAACGCAGGCGTGACATACCAGAGAATGATCGACGCGGTGTTCTCCCGACAGATTGGGCGGAACATTGAAGCATATGTGGATGATCTCATTGTCAAGACCAAAGCGGGCAATTCACATCTGGAGGATCTGCGTGAGACGTTTGAAGCTCTCCGCGAACATAATCTTCGCCTGAACCCATTAAAGTGTGTTTTCAGAGCAGAAGCAGGGAAGTTTCTTGGGTTCATGATAACCAAGCGCGGCATCGAAGTCGACCCAAAACAAATCACGGCGGTCCAGCAACTACGGGCACCAAGGAGCGCATTGGAAATCCAATCCTTGAATGGCAAAATAGCGACGCTGGGGAGATTCATACCAAGATCAGCCGACAAGTGTGCGCCCTTCTTCAAAACACTGAAAAGTGGCACAAAGTTTGCATGGACCAAGGAATGTGAAGCAGCATTCCAAGAGCTGAAAGCGTATCTTGTATCCCCTCCTGTATTGACCGCTCCCAAGCTTAATGAAAAATTATTCCTGTATCTCGCCGTGTCGACAAGAGCCGTGAGCGTAGTCCTGATATCCAGAAGAAATGACAAAACCGAGCAACCTGTGTATTATACTTTGTGTACGCTAGTCAGCGCGGAAACAAGATACTCCCCAATAGAGAAGGCCGCCCTGGCATTGGTAAGCGCGTCACAGAAGTTGTGTTCCTATTTCCAAGCGCACCAGATTACTGTCCTGACAAACCTCCCGCTAAAGAAGATCCTAACTTCAATGGAAGTGTCGGGGCGCATGGTCAAATGGGCAGTCGAACTATCAGAATACGATATCCAATATGCGCCGAGACCAGCAATAAAAGCCCAAATCCTAGCAGATTTCATCGCTGAAGGAGTCACCCTCGAAACAACACCAGAGGGGGTATGGGAGGTTTACGTCGACGGAGCGGCAAGCAAACACGGTGCTGGCGCGGGAGTCGTTGTGCGCACACCCACAGGCGCCGTCCACGAAATAGCAATCAGGTTTAGAACATTGAAGACGAATAATGCGGCCTAGTATGAGGCCATCCTGGCGGGAATGACTGCCGCTCACGAATTGGGTGCAAGAACGATAAGGGTACTTTCCGACTCCTCTCTGGCGGTCAACCAACTGAATGGAACCTTTGACGCAAAGGAAGACACACTTGCGCATTACATGGAGCGCGTCAAGCTGCGGGCAGCCACCTTCGAGGCGGTAACTTACGTGCAAATACCGAGAGAGGAAAATGTGCTCGCCGACGCCCTATCCAAGCTAGCGACCACCACCGACTTCGAGACAACGCTTCTCGTGTCGGTCCAGAAGGAAGAAGAGGAAAATCGCCAAGAAGTGGCGATTAATACCACCCAACTCGTGCTTGATGAGGATTGGAGAACCCCAATTGTGAAGTACTTGCAAGACGGTGCAATACCGGAAGATGCTAGAGAAGCGTGGACTTTGAGACAAAAGGCGGCCCGGTGCACACCCATTGAAGGGGAGTTGTATCGACGGTCATACTCGGGTGTCTACCTAAAGTGCATCGGACAAGAAGAAGCGCGCGACATGATACGTGACCTACATGAAGGGTTGTGCGCAATGCATGCCGGCCCACGCAGCATGGAGCGCACCATTTTGCTGCAAGGATACTACTGGCCGCGAATAAAAAAGGACACGAAGAAATACGCGGACCAGTGCCACAAGTGCCAAGTTAACGTGCGTCAGCACCACCTCCCGGCCACCGAGCTCCAAGGTAATCTGAGCCCATGGCCTTTCGCGCAATGGGGAGTGGATCTCTTGGGCCCCTTCCCAACAGCAAAAGGAAAGCGCAAATACATCATCGTGGCAGTAGACTACTTCACCAAATGGATCGAAACTGAGGCACTAGCATCGATAATGGCGCAACAGGTAACGCGCTTCTTGAAGACCAATATCCTGTCGCGCTTTGGAGTCCCGAATGCGCTCATCTTCGACCATGGGAAACAATTTGACTGCGCTGAGGTAATAGACTTCTGTGACCAAGTGGGAACCATTGCGAGGTTTGCATCGGTGGCTTACCCCCAAGCCAACGGCCAGGCCGAATCCGCCAACAAAGCAATCCTGCATGGCTTGCACACCCTCCTGGGCGAGGCCAAAGGTAATTGGGCTGACGAACTCAACACGGTATTATGGGCACATCGCACACGTACAAAGTGGCAACAGGTGAGACTCCTTTCGCGCTCACGTACGGTACCGACGCGGTGATCCCCATCGAGACAACAGCCCCGACCTATCGAATCACGATGTACAACGAAGAAACCAATGATGAGGCGCGCTTGCTGGACTTGGAGTTGACGCAGGAAAGGCGCGAGTTAGCAACCATTAAGCTGGCCGCAATGAAGGAGCAGGTAGCCAAATACCACAACAAGAAACTGGTCCCGCACAAGCTAAGCCTCGGAGACCAAGTACTGCGACGGAACTTCCGCCCCGACCCCAAACATGGGAAACTTGCCGCGGTGTGGGAGGGCCCATACCTAATCCGCGAAGTTGTCGGTGCCAACACTTTCAAGCTCAGCGAGCTGGGGGGCAGCAAAATTTCAAGAACGTGGAATGCGCAAAACCTCAGGAAATACCACCAGGCAACTTAATGTGTACTGTAGACACCAGTTTTTGTCCGGGTTAAAATATCCAATTAAACAAAATTTTATTTTTGTTTAAGATTTACAATAGTGAATCTTAAATTACCTTGTAGCTAAAACGTATATACAATGGTTGTAACATGTCATATTTTTCATAACTTAATGAGATTAGCAATAGCAAATCTCATTTTGTACAATTATGATCAATGAGTTTAGCAATAACAAATCTCAATTTTTTCAATTTATTAACCACTTGACGATAATGTGAGTTGACCATTGAATTGATCCTTAAAATATTGATTCATGGAAAAATTGGACTTTGATTTCAAAACAATAACAGATAAGTCGAATTAAGGGCAAGGACTAGTATTTTATTAAAATAAATCACAATTACAGATGTCATTACAATTATACAAAATAAAAACATTAAAATTGGCGAAGTCAAAGCCTACAACAAAAGTCCAATAAGTCGACAAAGTCAATCTGGTCAGCTCTGACACAACCAGACCGGTTCAACCCAAAACCATACCGGTACTGTTGCAAACTTGGGGAACAAGCCCCTTTTCCTATAAAAAGAGCTCCTTTGCTCTTACATGAGGGAGGTTTTTTGGAGGGTTTCTTCTCCTTCTCATCGCTCCCACAGGCTCTCTTCTTCTTCTTCTTCTTCTTCTTCTTCATCTATTGACCATTCCCAAACTGCTACCCTCAAATACACAGCACAAAATAAAACAACAACAAAAGGGCTTCTCTTCTTCTCTTCCAAACTTCTTGCCAAAAAACTATTTTCTTCTTCATCATCCCTTTTCTTCTTACACAAACAACACTTCTTCTTCTCTTCTCTGTTGGTTTTTCCTCTTTCAGCTCTTCCTACAAACACAGACAAACAACACTTCTTCTTCTTGTTCTTCTCTTCGTCTACCTAAACACAACAACACAAGCTCTGAAAAAATCTCCTTACTTTGCTCTTCTTCCTCTTAGATACACCAACATAACATAGAAAAAGAACAAACACAAACAACAAAAAGAAAACTGCAAACGGAAAGTCTAGCAGGCTAAAAGGGAAAGGAAAGCAACAGAACAGCACCTTCATCGGACATCAAGTAAAAAAGGTGGGTACATCTACTTCTTCCGCCGTCATCTCACAACCATTCATACATCCAAGGAAACCTTTTTAAGCAAAAATTGATCCATTCCAAGCAACTTCAAGCTGACTGATTTGCATTTAAAAGAGGAATCCAAACCAATACTCCAAGCAAATCATAAGATGGTGATAATAACCTTAATCAATGAAAAGATAAATCTATGATTAATTTCATCACTTATTTACGATTTGTCATGTTTAGTATATTGTGATGAAAAAAAAATCAGATTTGCTTTCCTTTCTAGCTTTGATTGTTTAAGTTTGTTTAGCATTTTCCATCTCTAGTTACATTAAACTAACATCCAAAACATGGTAAGTAAAAAAAACTAACATACACGACCCAATTAAGACTCGAAATACTTGAAGCACTTCCCCTCTAACCTA